CGGGCAATTCAGCCCTGGAAAATGTATCTAGAATACATACAATGTTGTCTTATACAGTATTCCTTATATCTTGGTTTTTATATAATCTATTTGGAGCTCATGGGCGCTCATTGCTGTGCGCAGGCTATAATGACCAGCACCCAGTCCACCTAAGTGACGGGGACAGCGGGGAGGATGACGTTTTCTAGACTCCACCGTTGGTGTTGGGTGACGATGTGGAGATGGAGGCACCGCGTGTGCAGCGTTCAACTGCAGGCCAAATCAACACACGGGGGTCGCCGAAGTACCTTGCAGACCTTGTGGGATCTCTAACCCCCAGGCAAAGGGAGGATGTTATAGCGGTTGGCCTTGGTGGGTTGCTGGGATTTAAGATTACTGAGGTCCCGTTGCGGTTGGGGCATTGGCTGGTCACTAATTTTGACCCGAGTGAGATGCGGGTTGACTTGGGGAATGGTCGGTACATTCTTGTCACAAAGGAGGATGTCTCCGCCGTGTTTGGCCTACCGTGTGGGCCAATACCCATCGCTGAACGGGATAGCCAGGTGGTTAGCCCAGAGTTGCGGGACTGGCGGGACGCGGTGAAGCAACATAGGGGGAGGGTTACAGTTAAGGCGTTATGTGCGCGGATGCGGGAATTGACCGATGGTGGTTCGTGGTTCAAAATTCATTTTTGTGTTGTGGTGATGACCCTCCTCGTTGCGAGCACACCCAATGGATATGCGAACCAAAAAACTGTTCACGTCTTGAGTAGTGTGGATACGATTCAGGACCTCGACTGGTGTGGGTACTTGCTTCGCTCGTTGGTTACTACCCATCAGAGTTGGACTGAGGCGTCCTCTCGCATATTCACTGGCCCACTCCTGTTCCTAGCTGTAAGTTAATATTCGCTTTGGCTCCGTATCATTTCTGTGCTTTATCTTAGCTAACAATGTTGTGTATGTCTCTATTACAGCTCTTGTATTTAGACAGGGTCGTGGTGGGGGTGCGGGAGGTCCCAAGGGCAATCCCGGTGGTGGGGGGGTGGACCACGGATTTCATCAAGGCACGCGTGCAGAATGAGATTGAATCTGGGGGTTTTGGAAGGGGTCTGATTGATGTTTCTTTGTGTGCATTCCAGGCCAGTGCATCGTTGCGTGGTCGCGCTGAGAACGTGGTATGCTCTTCGATGGAGCTGTATTTTTCAAACATTTTTCTTTGGAATCTGTATGTTAACATTTCGGTGTTGTGCATGGTTTTAAGCAGGAGATCGCAGTGATCAGTGCTGAGTTGCGTTCGTTGACCACACGTGTTGGCGACTTGGTTTCTAAGCACTCGGATGAGGTGCAGGAGGATTGCAATTTCCAGAGGGTGGTGGATTCAATCAAACAGTTGGGGGATATTGTAAAGTTGCCATCAAAGGTAACTGAGCCAGCTCCTCAGCCGCCCGCTCTGTCGCCTTGTCGTGATGAAGCACCGTTAGTCTATGACGCAGACTTTATAAGAGAGTTGGACCAGGCTGAGTTGGCTGCAATCGGGGCTCTTGGTGTGTCCAATGTGGCCCAACAGCCGGCCACCACTGCACCACCTCCACAGGTATACTAATGCGTAATAGGCTATGCTTTTGAAATTTATAGAGGCTAACTTTTAGGCTAACAGTTGCAGGAACCTGTCACCGCAAGTGTTGTATCGCATCCTGCGGCAGACCGAATAGTTCCTGAGGCATCCGGGACTGATGGTGTGTTCGATGTGCCAAGTTTTAGCTTGGGGTTGACGCAAGATTGTGCGACACACAACCAGACGAGCAACACGGGTCAACTGCCGGTCACCAATGCACCACCCCCACAGGTATACTGATGCGAGTAGGCGTTGTTTTTGAAAGGTGTAGAGGTTAAATGTTGGGCTAACATTTGCAGGAACCTATCATCGCGAGTGGTGCATCTCATCCAGTGGCAGAGCGCACAGTTTCGGGGGCAGCAGCTCGGCACCACGTGCAGGTGCCAGTGGTTCAGCAGGGCCGGTCGCCGGGGATTTACTTCAGCACCACGTTAGGTTACCCATTTTCTCTGCTGCCGCACGTGTATGTTCTGTGGAGGTGGGTATTTAGGTGCCCCCAGGGTGGATGGTAAGTGGCATTAATGTAGTTGAGTCCGGGGTGGTGGTCTTATTTGTGAGTATAATTGTGGTTTATTCTGATTGTTGTTTTGATCCCGTAGCGATGAGGTGCTGTTCCAATATGTTGATTGGACTGTAAAGTGGGCACAATTCCAAACCCTAAAGGAGGGGTCGAATGTGTCCAGGGCTATTGTTGATGCCTGGTGCTATGTCATGAATGCCCGGGAGAAGGTGAGCACAACTAGCGACGTGACTCGGCTGTTTCTACCGACTAGCACAATGGTATACTACTATATTTCTTGCCTGTATACCGTATCTTATGCCTGTGCAATAGGTGAATGGTGTGCTGCATTGATTAGCGTTTGTAATATGCAGGTTGGGACCGTTGATTCAACATCAGCCAGCGAAGATTCGAGGATCGCTTGGTTTGCGAGGCACATGGAGGTGGAGTTGGGGAGGATGGGCCGCAGGCAGACCGACGATGTGGATTTGGTGATGTACCCTAGTTGCTAATATAATTGCAACAACACATAACCTCAATCCACTAATCTTCCTTTTTAATCCCAATGCAGTTTGTTTTTCCAATTTTCAACAAGGGCACCTATTACATGATGGCTATCAATTTCAAACATTCCCGATTTGACATCATTGACAGTTCGTCTGCGAAGAAGACTAACAAAGACATGTATGGGGGTGCTCCGGAGGACCTGGTATGTGGCTTTGTGCTTTTTAGTATGTTGTCATGCTGTGCAATTGAGGCTGCAGTAGTGTACCTAAAACTTTGAATATAGGGTGTACAATGTCTATGGGTGTTTGCTTTACTTGTAGGTTAGTAGAACTGTTAAAAACATCTGTAATTCAGGTCTGTAAAATCAGTCTTAAGGGGGCCATACATGTGATTGTATCGAGTATTATCTACGTAGGACACTAAATGAAAGCTTCTATATATTTGTGGGTTACTTTGAAGCCAAGTATCATGAACTACTAGTAGAATTGCTACTACCTTTTGGTGCCATTACGGTTTGCATGCCGCAAAATGCTGGAATTACTGTTATGTTTTGTTTGCAAGTCATATCTGATAGTTTTTTATATGCACTACAATGAATTGACAATCTTTGTTAGGTAGCACTAGATCGTGTGGTGTGGTACAGCTTGTTTCTTAGTTGTATTTATTTTCTTAAAGAGTAGAGACTGTTTTTTTTTTTTTTTTGGGTTGGGTTGGATACTGTGTAGTAATTGGAATTACTGTTATGTGACAAGTTTTGTTATGTAGCACTAGTTCTTGCGGTGCGGTACAGCTTGTTATTTAGTTGAATTTATTTTTTTAAACAGTAGGGAGTGTTTTTTTTTTTGGTTGGTTTGAATACTGTGTAGTAACTTGAACTCATGGACTAGTCCCATTATATGAACTACAACAAATTGAGAATTTTTTTAAGGTAGCACTAGATCTTGTGGTGTGGTCCAACACTTTATTTAATTGTATTTATTTATTAAAAGAAACAAGGAGTGGGGGCTTTGGAATTGAAAAGCATGCACACCACAATTTCGATACAGTACAGAGAGTATAAGAGAGGATAATATTCTGTGCACTTGCATAACACTCCATATTTTGGTATATGCTGAATTACATATTAATGGGATGGGTTATGCCCTCAATTTAAATTACTATAATCGGTATTAATGATCTCAGTGTGGTGCAGGTCATGTGCCTGGGAGCGTACCTGGACTCTAAGCAGCAGGGACTTCGCAGTGCATGCCTCCAAATGATGAAACCGAAGAGGATGCAGATGTCGTGGAGGGATACCACGTCAACATCGGAGTCGGGGGTCTTCACGATGCGGTCATACGCCGGGCAGGGGTGTGCGAGCTGGGATTCTGGCTTGGTGCGGGGGGATGTTATGCAACTACTGAACTTACGGAAGCGCTACATGCATAATATCATGCTCAGTGTGGTAAACACTCATACAAACAAGATTGCAGCACGCGTCGCGGGGTTTGAAGGTAAAAGGTTGGCAAATTTGCGTCGGTGATCGTACCGGGGGGCTGGAGTAAATACAGTTTTCCTACTAGGTTCCCTTTTTTTGTGTACAGCAGGTATTTAGTATCGCAGGCAGGGTATGCTTGGATGTTTTGATTAGGTTCCCTTTTTTGTGTACAGCAAGTATTTAGTATCGCAGGCAGGGTATGCTTGGATGTTTTGATTAAATTATCGTATTTGGTGTTAGACGTTGAATACTTAGCCGAGTAGTATGGTTGGGGCAGTGCGTCAGTGATCTGTAATTTTTTGCTAGAATTTATTGAGGAATAAGGTGGTTTTGCTAGTAATTATCAATTCCTTGTTGCTGTTTGCTATTTAGTGATCTGGACATTAACCAATGGCAGCGCACCACTAACAACCCAGAGGTGCACCACCAATAAACTCAATTATATACTTTCCAGAATGTTTCATAGCGTATATTACATAATTTGCTCAATTTTGAAAATTTCCCTCATTTAAAAAGGAAAGACAAACCGGGTATCAAATGCACATTATTATGCACTGCCAACCGGGTATCATATATCATATCTCTATATATATGTATCATGCTAGGGGGCCAACCTGTGATGGACACTATTATGCACCGCCATTCATTCAAATGCCTTTTTTAATAGACAAGCAGCACACTGCCATAATCTCTAAATTCAAAGTTGAAGGAGCTGTGAGTAATGCGGAGGGTGTACATAGTAAGAGGAAAAGGTGCATTATGTCATCATCTACCTCAGCTCAGATTTCATGCGTCATCATCCAACTAAGAGTTTAAAAATACCAATGCTATTTAAATGAGGAAAACGAATTACATACAGAACTTTGTAGCTAATCTAAAATGGAATTTAAAAAATTAAAAACAGACTCCAAATTTTCTAGCATGCTACTTTGATGGACAACTACGAGCGTTATGGCGGGCGTATTTGCCACAAATCCCGCACTTTCGGCCAGGTTTCACATTTTTCTCAATGGCTAACTCCCTACTGCTTTTAATGCGCTTCCCGGTGCCTTTGTTTTTTGCTTGGGCAGGGGCGTGGATTGTTATGGATTGTGGTGGCTCCACGCCACATAATGCCTGGATAGCAGCACGGTTACCCTTAACTGGGTTCACAGATATACCGTCACTAGCAAATTCTGCAGTAAGACCTTGAAGTACCGCCACCATCCGTGATTGTCGTTCGATGCTAGTACCTACTAACCCAACCCACGTGTTTATCTCAGTCCATAGTTGGGTTGTTGCGGGGGTGGGTCTATCACCGTCAGATGGGAGGCGCCTGCATGCACCACAGTTTAGGTGTTTGCACCAACGGCTCACAATGTATTCGGCCGGTAATTCTTCCAATTGGGCACCCCTGAAAACCACAAACATATGTCGGCATACTAGGCCCATTCTTTGGAACAACTTGCAGCTACATGACGTTCCAAGACCACCTACCTTGTATTGCACGGTCGAAATAATGGCGCACTCACCATCAATGTCGTAATAAGTGCTGTCCCCATCTTGTCGTACACCGACAACAGAGCAATAAAAACAAGCAGCTTCTATTTCTTTCTGTAACTCGTAAAAAATAGTGATCGTGAACAGCTGTGCAATATGTCGCTCGAGTGCTAAAGGTGTTTTAAACTCTGGCAGGTATCCCTCGCACTGTGCGTTCAATTTATCTTGCCGGTAGCGTTGTGTTCCCAACACGCTCTCGAATTGCATGTAGAACTCTACCAAACTAGAATGTGGGCGTGTGAATTTACCGTATACGCCATTCTCTGCTTCTGACCGGGATGTGGTACGCAACAAACCACGCATGGGCAAATCTGAAAAAAAAAAGCCGGGATCCAACTCTCCCGTTCCGCATACATTTTGCAAAACCATCGGTGGGTCGATAGATTGTATTCATCCATTAGTATTTGCCATTGCGCCTCAAACTCCACACGGTCGATTGTTTCGTTCCAAACGATAGCATTTAGTTTCTTGCGGAACTCGTTGTCCTTAGCTAACTCATTGCCGAGCTTTTCATTAACCTTTGTCATGATGTGCCACATACAGTAGCGATGGCGGCACTCGGGTAATACTCGTTCGATAGCAATTCGCATAGCGGGGTCCTGGTCGGTCACAACACACGCTGGCCTCTTTCCCATTGCACATATAAATTGCTTCAACAACCAGGTGTATGAGTCAGCATCTTCTTTAGTCAACAGACCGGCCCCGAAAGTGATGCATCGTTTGTGGTTGTCCACACCAGTGAACGGCACAAACACCATGCTGTACCTGCACCATATGAAGTGATGGGTGACGTGCCCAAAAAACGAATCACAATTAAAAAAAAAAAAAAAAAACAAACATAACAGTTAGAAATTTCCATTTGCAGTACTGTATTGTCATTGCAAACTATAAAGTATTCTATTTAATTAGCTAATAGTAGGTTGGCAGTTAGGTAATATATATTTGGATTGCAAACTATAAAGTGTTCTATTTAATTAGGTAATAGTAGGGTATGACAATTACTTCCTGCTATTCGTAATTATATTTGGGAAAACAACACACCTAGCATAAGCTATATAGTTCACAATGGCCTATACCAATTTGTGTAATTATACCAACACACCTAGCAGTGTGGCATTATTCTAGGAACACAAGTTTAATTCTTTGAATAATATGATCATATAAGGTGGGAACTAAATCACAGTACACATTGGGGGATTGAGAATCAAATTGCAGCACCGTACCTGTTCGTGCCGTAGGTTGCATCGAAAGATATGTTGTCGCCATAGCAAGAAAATTTTCGCCTGCTGAGGGGGTCAGCCCAGAATAGTCGTGATACCCGGTGCTCTTCATCCAGATCGTATTCAAAAAAGAACTCACTACAAGCTTCGTGCTTTGCCTTGAATGTTGCAATAATCATCTCGCCATCAGATACATCGACGTAAGTTTGGACGTCCCGTTTAAAATTGTGAAATTCTACGTCGGTTGCACCGATATTAGCATACGATCCGGTCGCCTCTTTGCAGAACCGCAATCCTGTTGAAGAACCGATGTTAGCCTTAACACAATTACTTAAAAAAGCTTGTTGGACCACATCGAGCTGTCGGTTAATTCGCATAAAAACTTTAGATGGCTCCGAGCATAGTTGGTGGGTGTGTCCCTCGACCAAAACTGCCACTTTGAACTCGCCGGTTTTTTTTTTTTGTAAAGCCGATCTTGGCTCCGCAATTAACTCTATTAGAAAGACGACGGCGCCGCTCCCGCTTTTCTATCCCACCTAGTGCCCGCTCATTACCGGGAGGTTTATTACCACCACCTTTCACCCCTTGCCGGCTACACACCAAATAGCGTGAGTAGATTTTTCCGGCTCGGTCGCGCTTCACGGAACTCTGGCGGACATCAAACCCGCAGATTCGAGCGTAGTTGATATAGCATTGGATACCTTCGTTGAGCGTTTTAAATACACGCCCCTGCGTCGGCTTGATGGTAGTGTTCACGGTGGGGGTCCATTGTTGTTGCCCGGTCGCTGTTAAACCAATAGCAACTTCTAGTTCGGGCGTGGGTTCCGGTATCGTCGCCACGCCTTCTGCACAATCACCGAACGGATGTTACGGGGGTAGAAAAACGCTGCGGTTGCGATGCATGGGAATTATTATTCACTAACCTGTTACGCCGCCGGCAGAGGGGTTGATTGTCGGCATCTTACGATGTTCACGCAGGGATGTTTTACGCAAGAGGTGTCCGAACCGCAGAAGTTGCAATATAATCGGGAATTGCAGTGTTAATCGCAATTCAAATACATACGGAATGGGGGGAGAAGGCTGGTTGCAATTGGACTCTGGTGTATCCCATGTTACGGGGTGCATGGGGTGATGTGTGAATGTTATCTTGGGCCTTAGGATTTAGTACATCAGCGCACCGGATTGGTCCACAAGTTCACATGTTAATAATGGTTCGCACCAGAAAAATAGCCTATATATATATATATATATATATATATAGGGAAGGGATCAGGTGCATTTGTTGCTTCCCATGCGGATGTGCGATGGATTAATGTGCGTGAGGTTTATACTTAATGTGCCTGAGATTTGTACTTAATGTGCGTCATGTTAATATGCGTGAGTTTTGTACTTAATGTGTCTGAGTATTCTGTTTAATGTGCGTGAGATTTATGCTTAATGTGCCTGAGTATTTCAGAATTACGAGCTCAGAAAGAAGCAGAACAGAAACTCACGCACATTAACGCCCAAGCTTCTTGTTACTTCTTCCTTCAATTTGGCCATGGATTCTGTGTTATCAGCTACCTTCAATGCAGTTGAATGTTTATATAAATAACGCACGCATAGTAAAATTTGCACAACAACAAAGTGTGGATTTCTATTGTATTATTCCCATAATTCTTAACCTCCATAGCTTGCCTCCGCATCGTCATCATCAGGGAGGGGGCAAATGGCTACTGGGGATGGGGAAGAAGCTGACATAATATTTTCTGCTGCATTTTACACATTCACGCACATTAAGTACAAATCTCATGCACATTAAACACAACACTCACGCACATTGAGTACAAATCTCACGCACATTAATCCACCGCACATCCGCACGGGAAGCAACAAATACACGAGAACCTTTCACTATATATATATATATATATATATATATATATATATATATATATATATATATATAGTCATTAGTAATGGAAACGTGCAGTTTTCTTTGTCGCGCTTGCAGTTAAGGTGTTAGGAGTACACCTTTGTTTGTTGAACATATAATATCTACATAAATGTGCAGTCCAATTATTAATTTAGATTTTTAATAGAGATAAAACACATACTTCAATTTAGTATGAGAGTCAAATCAATATTAAAGATTATTGGCTCAAATTTTTGTGTATAAAAAAAAAAAAGACTATAGTCCACATGTTCTTTTAAGACCCGTCAAAAGTAGATGGGTCACACATGTGATGAGACGTGTTGAGCATATAATATAATATATAAATATAAATGTGCAAGTCCAACTATCCGTTTCCATGTGCTAAAGATCATGGGATCAAATTTTCACGTCATCCGGTAAAAAGATACTACGGTCCACATGTTGCTTGGAGCTGATCAAAATTAAAGTAACCCTCTCACACACACGTGAGGAAGCGTGTTAAACATATAATTTCTGCTTTACCCGAGTGTTGCTTGGAGCCCTTAAAAACTAATCGGGACAGGCACACATGAGAAGGTGTGTTGAGCATATATATAATATAATAGTTAATTCTATTTTTGGTCCTAGATTTATAGGTGTCAATCTATTTTTAGTCATTTTTCAGAATATCCCCTTTGGTGCTAGTATTATTGTGGTATGACCATTTTTAGTACTCCATCAACAAAATCATTGAAATTCCGTAAAATACATGAGCATTTAGGTCTTCAATTATGAATCTTTTCAAGAAAATAAATTTTGTCAAATGACATGGTTCAAATTTTCGTGTTACCCAATAAAAAGAGACTATACGTTATGAGGAGGTGTGTTAAGTATATAATATATAAATGTACAGTCCAACTATCAAACTTAGAAACGGTAGAATACAAACAAATAGGAAGAAGAGGAAAAACTGATATATTATGTCTTGTGTGTAAACATCAATACAAGCACTTTATTTATAGTCTCATCAAGATATTGAAAATAAATACAAATGATAAAACAAAGAGACATGAGAAAACAAAGAGATGGAAAACAAAGGGATGGAAATCAAAGAGATACAGATGATTAATATCTTGAAAATATCAACGACTTTTATGCTTCAATTTTGTTAACGTAACCATAGATGCCAGCTAATTTCAACAACATTTGCATAGGTTTGTTCACAAAACAAAAATATATGCAAGCTAGTAGCCAAAAAAAATGAGAACATGATGATCAATATATGCACAAGAACTAGACATAATTACATCGAAACCAACGCCAAACGGAACAACAATCTTTCATCGAATGATCCTATATAAGCATGCATACAAGTGTACCCACCTCCTTCATATTCAATTCAAAGCAATTAAAGTCATTAACTCAGAATCATCTGATTTCTTTAGCCATGGCTCTTCGCCTCTCAGCCGTAGTGTTCATTGCTTGCTTCGCCATTTTCTTGGGTGCCGTCGCAGCACAATACGGCGGCGGCGACGGCGGCGATGGCGGCAACAACATGGGGCCCGCGCCGCCGCCTAGCCGGGCTTCAATCAACGCCTCTCCGGCGGCTGCGATCGGATTCCTTTCTTTGGTTGTGTCCTTCTTTGTGTTCAAGAGGGCTTAATTAATATTGATCCACAGATTCTCCGGCCACGCATAGGGCTTAATTAATATTGATCCACAGATTCTCCGGCCACGCATATATGTTCTGTTTTGATTCTCCCGTCGATCACTTCCTTGTATTGCAATCTACGTGCATATATATGTTACTATGTATGTACGTGCTTATGTATTTGTGTTATGTATTCTGACCTGTATTTCTTTCTTCTGTTTTGTTTTTTAAGGCCAAATTTTCATTAATAAAGATTTTGTGACGTCATAAAGGAAATTTGGAATCAAAGTCGATCTATATAGTCATGATAATTACGATATTTCCCTTAAGGTTGAGGTTCAACCTTTTGGAAGAATGATAATCACAATATTAATCCAAAACTTATGTCATACACAATTTCTTTAAAAGCAATTTGTTTCATCCCGATAATGCTAGGAACGTTGAAGAGTCAATTTCTTAGAATACAATGGTTTACCAACATATATATATATATATATATATATATATATATATATATATATTGTAGTTGGTTTAGTTGGCATATGGAAATTAGAAAGTGAATTTCTTAATCAACATGTGGTTAACCAGCGACAGTGTGGGAGCTACCTCTCAAAGTGAGGGCGGTTCCTTATGCGCAGTGAGCAAATGTCTAGCCTCTGTGGTTGAGTTGAGTTACCATAATTTACATCCTCCCAAATGCTCTGTCGGGTCGGAGTGTGGGGTCCCTTAGGGTTGGGGTTCAACCTTTGAAAGAATGAAAGGGTGAACGTGTGTGTGTGTATGTGATGTGCATGGAATTAGGAAACTAATGGCTAAATGTATGAGTGTGGTGCGATTATGGTGTTAATTTTGTGGGAAGGTGTTATAAATGAGTATTTGAAAGACGCATCGACGCTACAAGTCAACTTCAAAACAGGGAAGGATTGGTGTACTATCCGGAGAGTCTAGCTCCACTTTATTCAGTACAAGCTGTGTTAAAATTCAGGTTGGTTACAGTTTGTTTAATTGGATGAATTAGTTCAAACTGTATTGTATACTTTTTTCATAGAATTGTTTTTATAAGGTCAATGTATAAATAGGTGGTAGACCTAGTTTTGTGATTCATTAAGCTAGCCTTGTAATTGTAAAAATCGCGGGTTGATCTTTAGTGAAAAAGTTATTGGGCGTGCATATTAGGAGGTGTTCTCCAACTGCGTTAAAAAATTTAGCTGTGTACTTAATTATTTTGGCGCTTCATTTATTTTCAATTGGTATTAGAGCAGTGTCGCTCAATTTGCTAGCGAGATCCTAGGGATACTCGAGTATTGTTTTGTAGAATGGAAGAGGGTGCCTCGATTACAAGACCGCCGTTGTTGAAAGGAGTGAGTAACTATGCCTATTGGAAGGCTAGAATGAAGGCCTTTATAAAATCTCTAGTTGAAGAATGCTGGGATGCCGTGAAAAATGCTTGGACCCCACCAACGATGACAGTTGAAAACGAAGAGAAGAAAAAACCATTGGCTCAATGGACACCAGACGATAAGAAGCAAGCATCATCAACAAACAATAGAGCTATGAATGCAATTCATAGTGCTCTTGGAGAAGGTCAATTCTAGTTGATTTCAGCCACAAATATAGCAAAAGTTGTCTGGGATGACTTATGACTCACTATGAAGGAACAGGATCTGTCAAAGTCTCAAAGTTGCAATTGCTCATGACCAAGTATGATAGTTTAAGGATGGAAGAAACTGAGTTAGTCTCTGAGTTTAGTGCAAGGATAAAGAACCCTGCGAATAGCGCAAGGAACTTGGGTGAACCATTTGAAGAAGAAAAATTGGTTCGCAAAGTTCTGAGATCCCTGCCTTCGACGTTTAAGATGCAAGTTGTTGCTATCAAGTACTCAGCAGATCTAAAAACTCTAACTTTAGATGCTATAATGGAAAATTTGCAGACTTTTGAGTTAGAAATGGAAGAGGAAGACAGGTACCTAAACAAGGACAACAAGGGAGTTGCATTCAGCGCTGCGGTACCTACAGGAGCTGACTCAGATCTAGAAATGAATGAAGTCATGGCTATGCTGTCAAAGAAATTCGAAAAAATGCTAAAGAGAGCCAAGGGACAAGGTAAGAGGAAAACGAGCAACAAAGGAGATGGAACTGAAAGTATTCAGAAGCCAAAAGGTCTATGTCAAGATTTTAAACTCAACGGTATCCCGTGCCATTGTAACACCCCCGATTTCTACCACATTTTTAAAACTTAATTTCAAAGGTAAACATCTAATCATCAAAATAAACAACAGCCGAAACTTAATTAAAATCGGAGAGTTGTTATGCCACACCCATAAACCATGGGTGCACAGGCTAGCCAACAACAATCTAACAAAACAGTAACAATTCTATGGCTCACAGGCCAAGAAAGGATAAACGTCTAGCATGG